TAAATGTTGTCTAGTCTAGTGTCTTGGACCTGGAAATTGGCAAAAACTGTGTACTCAGCCCATTCTCACCCCCAAGGCGTCACTTAACTGACGCCTTGGGAAGCATTTGGACATGCTTCAATATCTGACGCTTTAGGCGCCCTTTAGCGTCAGCAAGATGACGCCCTAGGATCGCGTGTACCCTACCCCCACCCCACACCTAAACCTAACCGCGTCCTCTAACAGACGCTTTCCTTTAGCGTCAGTTAGATGATGCCGTAGGATCGCGTCATGTAAGTGACGCTAAAGGGCGCCTAAAACGTCAAATATTGAAGCATGGTCAAAGGTGACGCCTTGGGGTGAGAATGCGTTGGTGTACTATGAAATTGCATGAAGCCAACCAATCAGATCAGTCAAGTTTTGAGAAGGCTTGTGCTATTTTTGTGTGCGACGTCTGAGTCTGACACTGCTTTGAGTTTGTGCCAGTCTCGGCTATTTTTGGCCCCTGGGAAACATGGTCCACGAAACCAACACTGATGAATCCTTGACAATGTGTCTCAGTATTTGAGCCAATGAAAAGACAAGATTTCACGGCACCGGGTCTGGATTCTGTCAGACAGACACAATTCTGGGATTGGTGTGTTATTTATTTTTTGACCCAATCCCAAGTGTCAGTTCTTTTTCATGGAAGTGCCAGCGAACGTGACCAATGCAGATAAAGGAGAGTGTTATTTTCAGGATTTAATCAGCAGACTCCACAGAGGAAGAAATATTAAATCTGACAACGAGTCCCTTTCTGTCACACACAAGTTCATATAACACACACTCATCACAGCATCGTGATTGGAAAGGACTGAACGCAATAACGCTGGATTCGGATCCGTGACCGTCCGGAACGAATGCGCTTTTCTTCAGGGGAAAGTTCTCCACGCTCCACGCTGCTGGAGTGAATGACATCACCTCCGCTAATGACATCACTGATACGCTAATGACAGCTGAACATGCGCTTACATCCAATCACGATTAACGTTCAGATTCAGTTCTATGACGCCACGTTTACGTGATTGAGTAACGCTGATGCAGTGATATCATCCGTCAATCTGTCAATCTATCATTCTGTCTATCCACCCATCCATCATACTGTGTATCGTTCTATCTATCTATCTATCTATCTATCTATCTATCTATCTATCTATCTATCTATCTATCTATCTATCTATCTATCTATCTAATGTTCTATCTATCTATCTATCTATCTATCTATCTATCTATCTATCTATCTATCTATCTATCTATCTATCTATCCATCTAATGTTCTATCTATCTAATGTTCTATCTATCTATCTATCTATCTATCTATCTATCTATCTATCTATCTATCTATCTATCTATCTATCTATCTATCTATCTATCTATCTATCTATCTATCTATCTATCTATCTATCTATCTATCTATCTATCTATCTATCTATCTATCTATCTATCTATCTATCTATCTATCTATCTATCTATCTATCTATCTATCTATCTATCTATCTATCTATCTATCTATCTATCTATCTATCTATCTATCTATCTATCTATCTATCTATCTATCTATCTATCTAATGTTCTATCTATCTATCTATCTATCTATCTATCTATCTATCTATCTATCTATCTATCTATCTATCTATCTATCTATCTATCTAATGTTCTATCTATCTATCTATCTATCTATCTATCTATCTATCTATCTATCTATCTATCTATCTATCTATCTATCTATCTATCTATCTATCTATCTATCTATCTATCTATCTATCTATCTATCTATCTATCTATCTATCTATCTATCTATCTATCTATCTATCTATCTATCTATCTATCTATCTATCTATCTATCTATCTATCTATCTATCTATCTATCTATCTATCTATCTATCTATCTATCTATCTATCTATCTATCTATCTATCTATCTATCTATCTATCTATCTATCTATCTATCTATCTATCTATCTATCTATCTATCTATCTATCTATCTATCTATCTATCTATCTATCTATCTATCTATCTATCTATCTATCTATCTATCTATCTATCTATCTATCTATCTATCTATCTATCTATCTATCTGTCTATCTATCTATCTATCTAATGTTCTATCTATCTATCTATCTATCTATCTATCTATCTATCTATCTATCTATCTATCTATCTATCTATCTATCTAATGTTCTATCTATCTATCTATCTATCTATCTATCTATCTATCTATCTATCTATCTAATGTTCTATCTATCTAATGTTCTATCTATCTATCTGTCTGTCTATCTATCTATCTATCTATCTATCTATCTATCTATCTATCTATCTATCTAATGTTCTATCTATCTAATGTTCTATCTATCTATCTGTCTATCTATCTATCTAATGTTCTATCTATCTAATGTTCTATCTATCTATCTGTCTGTCTATCTATCTATCTATCTATCTATCTATCTATCTATCTATCTATCTATCTATCTATCTATCTATCTATCTATCTAATGTTCTATCTATCTAATGTTCTATCTATCTATCTATCTATCTATCTATCTATCTATCTATCTATCTATCTATCTATCTAATGTTCTATCTATCTAATGTTCTATCTATCTAATGTTCTATCTATCTAATGTTCTATCTATCTAATGTTCTATCTATCTAATGTTCTATCTATCTATCTATCTATCTAATGTTCTATCTATCTAATGTTCTATCTATCTATCTATCTATCTATCTATCTATCTATCTATCTATCTATCTATCTATCTATCTATCTATCTATCTATCTATCTATCTATCTATCTATCTATCTATCTATCTATCTATCTATCTAATGTTCTATCTATCTATCTATCTATCTATCTATCTATCTATCTATCTATCTATCTATCTATCTATCTGTCTATCTATCTAATGTTCTATGTATCATTCTATATTTCTTTGTATCTGTCTGTTGGTCTATTGTTTTATCTATCAGTCATATAACTGTGCATCCATTTTTATGAAAACTATATTGTCTATTTTAATCCATTCTGTATTCTATAATTTAAAGTTTAACCACAATAAAGAAGATATTTAGTTTAAAAGTGAAGGCATATTGTACTCATAAAAGTGGCACATTACATGAATTTTGTCGCAAGACACATTAACACAGGTCGTGTTTTTGTACGTATATTTACTTTTTGTCATTATTTGTGAGGGTCAATCTCGAGGTATATTTAATAGGTGGAAAAATCTCGATTCCCTCGGGCCCACGGCCTCACAGACTGTCATTTTAATGTAAGCACAAGTCCGTGGGACAGTGTGATTTAACTCAATGCAGCGTGACAGACTGAAGTCCTCCAGAGGCCGAATCAATCAAGCGATGACTGCGGGCGGTGACTTCAGAGCGCATGAGATCAGCCGTCCGCTCGGACACTGGGAGGAGAGATCCGATTGGAATTGGATGACTAACCTGTAATCAGGACTTTGATTTTTCTGAGGTTAGAGAATGGGAAATATCACTGGCGACTTAATGTCATGGGCTTAAATGGAAAATTGGATGTATCAGTTTTGCATTGTATGGTGAGAATGACCTGTGCAGAACACATGAACCCATGCATATGACATTAGAAAAATGCTAACCTGATGCAAATGCAAGTAATTTTGTCCAATGTTATCTTTCCGATGGATGGTTCTAATTTTTAGACCGGTGTGTGTGTGTGTGTGTGTGTGTGCAGAACACCTCTCCTGTGGTGTAAGTAAATCCCTAGACACCCAATCACCACTCGAACCCTGCCACCCAGGCCCTAACAATAGATGCTCTCTGATCCAAGATCACACACTGGTATAGGAAACCATCTTACCTGTACAGATACAACAGCCCACCTGTAATAAAAACAGTAATATTACCAATTTGCTGAAGAAAAGTCTCAAATGAGATTTTATTTTACTTCCATGCATCCTTGTGGCAAAGGCATTCAATGTGAGCAAATGGAAAAGTTTTCTAGAGTTTTAGAAGAGATCTCAACAATTACAGTTAAAGGATTAGTTCAACTTTTGCTGATAATTTCCTCGCCCCCATGTCGTCCAAGATGTCCACGTCTTTCTTTCTTCAGTCGGAAAGAAATTAAGGTTTATGATGAAAACATTCCAGCATTTTCTCCATATAATGGACTTCAATGGGGTCCAAACGGTTCAAGGTCCAAAAGACAGTTTCAGTGCAGCTGCAAAGGGCTTTAAACGACACCAGACGATGAATAAGGGTCTTATCAAGCGAAAAGATCGCTCATTTAAAAAATAAATAAAAAGTTTAAGTTTTATAAGCACAAATGCTCGCCTTGCTCTATTCTATGATGAGCGTTCGTGACTCTCCTGCTCAAACTCGTTCATCAAAATGAACAAATCTTTTTTCAAGTCATGACTCGAAAGGTTCTTGATAAGACCCTTATTCATCGTCTGGTGTCGTTTAAAGCACTTTAAAGCTGCACTGAAACTCTCATTTGGACCTTGAACCGTTTGGTCCCCATTGAAGTCCATTATAAGGAGAAAATCCTGGAATGTTTTCATCAAAAACCTTAATTTCTTTTCGACTGAAGAAAGAAAGACATGGACATCTTGGATGACATGGGGGCGAGTAAATTATCAGCAAAAGTTTTTTTTTAAAGTGAACTACTCCTTTAATGTCATGGCTTAAATGGAAAATTGGATGTGTTAGTTTTGCATTGTATGGTGAGAATGACCTGTGCAGAACACATGAACCTATGGTATGCATGAACTGCATATGTTGAATGCAATGAAAGGCGCTTTGGATGAAAGCATCTGCCAGATGCATAACTTAGAATTTTCATGAACTCTGTTTTTGGCATGCATGACCTAAAATATGCACTAAACATGTTTTCCCTTTCATGCATCTCAAATGTAAAGTGCTGGAATGGTTACCCGTGAAGCCCTCTGGAGTTGCGTGCCGTCTGCTGTCATGCTGATGATTTATTTGTGTTTTTTGCTAACAGGAGATGGGAACCCCAAGGAGAGCAGTCCATTCATCAACAGCACCGACCCAGAGAAGAACCAGCAATATGACGGCAAGAACATGGCCCTGTTCGAGGTACACACGAGCGTTAACTTATAAACATGCAACGGCGGTACATTTAGAGCTAGACAGTGCGGCACAGGCACACAAACTATAGTGATTAATGGAATAAAAGAGTCTGACAGTAATTAATAAGCGTAATTAACGTTTGAAGGGCAGGAAGCCCCCAGGACGTTGCTCTCTGCAGGTGGATGATAACAGCATGCAAGTCCAACATCACATGCTATACTGCATCTAAAACTATTTTAAACTGCCTTTCTATGGCAGTTTATTAAGTTGACTATTTAACCTTCAAATGGTCTTTGTCTCCTGTTTACACTTCTGGGCTTCGGGGTCTATACGACCCCAACAATTGATTGACAAATTGTACAAAAAATATACATTTTTAATCATACAAACAATATATAATTTTTTTGGTTTACTTCTCATCTATTCATTAATGCTGTGTTTTTGGAGATATAAAGTACTTTTGTATCTATATACCACACCTTTTTGCTTCGGGGTCTATACGACCCCAACAATTGATATTAAAATACATTTTTAATCATACAAATAATTGTTTTTTTTTTTTGTTTACTTCTCATCTATTCATTAATGCTGTGTTTTTAGAGATATAAAGTACTTTTTTATCAATTCACCACACAATTCCTCAACTACACCATTAGCTTGCATATGAAATATTATTTTTTTATGATACATTGCATTTAAATGTTCTAGTACTAGGCCTTCATTTCTGTGTAAAAATGGTCAGATTTATGCTGGATTTTTTTTTTTTTTTTTTTTGACACATGAAGAAAATATATTTAGTTTTTTTTTTTTCACATTTCCCATTCATTTCAATGTGGGGTTACAGCCTACTGACCCTGAACACCAGAAGTGTAAACCTTCAAAACAACCAAATCAAGCCCAGTTTATAGATAATGTATGAAAAGTCACAAAATTATTCCACTGAGATGAAGGAAACCTTTCTTTTATTAAGCAAAAGTCGATTAGGGTCGTATAGACCCCATGACGCTATTGAGGGCTACGTGATTTGGTGATTCAAATGTTACATGAGCTGAATTATAAAGTGCATTTTAACCTAAAATCTTGTCAGCTCTTCTGGTCTTTGAAAAGTCTCAAATGAGATTTTATTTTTACTTGTATGCCTCTCTTGTTTCTCCCAGTGGAAATGAGATTAAACGTTGAGCAAAAGGAGAGTTTTAGAAGAGACCACAAAAAACAAATTCGCTATTTCAGTGTGATCTCAAATATATTTCTGTGATAGACTGAATGCATGTGAATTCAAGATGTTTGTGAAGCCCAATGTATGCTAGCTGACTAATTAATATGCACATTTATTTTTGGTTTGCATGGATGACTTACTGTATGACAACTACTGACTTTTACTGTTCCTCCATTTCAGATGATGCATCTTACTGTAAATAAAACTCTACTGAGAGTTTCATTAGCTTTTAAAATTTCAATTCTGGGCCATTAATTGTCCTCTTTTGTAATATGTAAATGTTCATCACGAGTGAATTATTTAATGCTCACAATATTTGTTCTGTATGTGCGTGTGTTTGCTGTACAGGAGGAGATGGACACAATCCCCATGGTGTCGTCTCTTCTCAGCAGTCTCGCCAACTACTCAAACCTGCCGCAGGGCAGCAAAGAACACGAGGAGGCGGAAAACAACGAGGGCTCGCGCAAGAAACCTGTCCAGGTACACACGTTTTCTTAACACGTTTTTGTCTGGCTCTCAGTTGAACCTTAATTGGCTTCCGTCTATAAACAGCGAGATCGGCAGTGTGAATGACAGCTGCCAGCTCTGTTTTGACCTGTGACCTGATCTCCCTTAGTCCCTCAGGATCCCAGACTGGTTAGAGCTCATTAGAGATTGGCCTCGGTCGTCCTCGTGGCGCTGGCCTTTCCCAGTCGCTTGATTCGGTTTCACTTTTCTTGATTGCAATCTTGATTCAGTTTGCAAATTTGCTTCGACTTTTTTGTGTATGGTATTAAAGGACTGTAACAAAGTAACTGTAACTGGTGCACTCGTGAAAGTGGAGTCGTGTGATTGTGTAATGGGTTGATAAAACATGCGCACAAGTGCAATTTTATTTCATACTTACAATTGCCAAATTCAAAGGAGTTCATTTTTTGTTTCGAATTACAAAGAAGGTGAATCAGTGCAAGTATTATTTTTGTATTTGTAATATACTGTTATAGTATTTACATGCTCTTATAGTACTAAATATAAATAATTATGATTTATTTTTATTTTTTAGTTTAGTAAGTTTTTGTACTTTTGTGATTGTAATTTATATATAAATTACAATCACAAAAGTACAAAAACTTAAACCTTAAAAATATATATATAGTTGTATTTTTATTTCATTTTTGGTTTTAGTTATTAAAAAGCTATTTTATTTCATTTGGCTGCCAATTTTCCAATTTTTGTTGAAGGTTTTTTTTATCAGTTGCTTATATTTTGTATTATTACACAAAATGCTGGGTTGTTTTAACCCAACTTTGGGTCAAATATGGACAAACCCAAATGTTGGGTTAAAAATGTAATTAAAGAATGTAACCCAATGGTTGGGTTTGTCCATATTTGACCCAAAGTTGGGTTAAAACAACCCAGCAATTTTTAGAGTGTATGTTTATTATTTCAAATAATACAAATATATATATATATATTTTTTAATAGTTTCAGTTTTTTGTTAATAATAACAACTCTGAATCAGTGATTCTTTTCCTCTGGCACAGAGAGTCTCTACTGAGCGTGTGCAAGACATTTAGCGTGTTACACTCTTAAAAATGCTGGGTTGTTTTAGCCCAATTTTGGGTCAAATATGGACAAACTCAAATGTTGGGTTAAAAATGTAATTTAAAATGGAACCCAATGGCTGGGTTTGTCCATATTTGACCCAAAATTGGCTTAAAACAACCCAGCATTTTTTAGAGTGTACAAATATCTCCTATTGACTTCAGCAGTCAAAATGACCAAAAACTTAAAGATTAAACCCTCTGCTGTACAAGGAGAGCGAGTGAGAGAGAAAGAGAGTAAAATAGAGAAATGAGCCGGAATTGGATTTGTCCTCTCAACACGATCGAGGGGAGCGATAATCTTCCTCTTGTTTCACACTGCGACTTCAACTTAATTAGCTCGTCTTGCAAAGCATCTGCTCTCCAATCAGCCTCCATTTTGAGAGGGTCAATCAATCCGCTCATCTCCTGCAGCAAATGTCCCCACATACCCACACACACTCGACCCGTTTATTACCAATCACGTCCACAGGTTTCAGGTCTCTCTCAGCCTAAAGATTTCTTTACATCACAAAAACGGCGCAGAAGTTATATCTGAAGTGGCAGATACACTACTGTTCAAAAGTTTGGGGTTATTTCAATTACTTTCATTCAGCAAGGATGCATTAAATTGATCAGAAGTGACTATTATAAGATATTTATAATGGTATGTTACAAAAGATGCTATTTTAAATATATGTTGTTCTTTTGAACTTTCAAACTTTCGATTCATTAAAGAATCCTGAAAAAAAAATATTGAAGAAACTGTTTTTAACTGATAATAATCAGAACAGAGCAGCAAATCATCATATTAGACTGATTTCTGAAGGATCATGATCCTGAAAATTCAGCTTTGATCACATATTATATTTTAAAATATAATCACAGAGAAACCTGCTATTCTTTCTTCAGTCGAAAAGAAATTAAGGTTTTTGATGAAAACATTCCAGGATTTTCTCCATATAATGGACTTCAATGGGGTCCAAACGGTTCAAGGTCAAAATGACAGTTTTAAACGACTTTAAAAAAGGGCTTTAAACGACACCAGACGATGAATAATGGTCTTATCAAGCGAAACTATTGCTCATTAAAAAAAAAATTACGTTTTATAAGCTCAAATGGTCGCCTTGCTCTGTTCTGTGATGCGCGTTCGTGACTCTCCTGTTCGAACTCGTTTATCAAAAAACAAATCTTTTCCCGGGTCAACTCGTTCCCAAATGACACGAAAAAAGATTTGCTCATTTTGATGAACGAGTTCGAACAGGAGAGTCACAAACATGCATCACAGAACAGAGCAAGGCGAGCATTTGAGTTTATAAAACTTCAACTTTATTTATTTATTTATTTTTTAAATGAGCGCTCGTTTCGCTTGATAAGACCCTTATTCATCGTCTGGAATCGTTTAAAGCACTTTGAAGCTGCACTGAAACTCTCATTTGGACCTTGAACCGTTTGGACCCCATTGAAGTCCATTATATGGAGTGTAGAAATGGCCTCAATGGCTTCACCTTTAATGTTGTGTAACTTGCGTTGACTGCTTCACTCTAAAAATGCTGGGTTGTTTTAACCCAAATTTGGGTCAAATATGGACAAACCCAAATGTTGGGTTAAAAATGTAATTTAGAATTTAACCCAACTTCAACTTTCCCTTTTTTTAAATACATTTTTAACCCAATATTTGGGTTTGTCCATATTTGACCCAAATTTGGGTTAAAACAACCCAGCATTGTTTAGAGTGAAGCAGTCAACACAACATTAAAGGTGAAGCCATTGAGGCCATTTCAACCCAGCATTTTTTAGAGTGTAGTGTTGATAATTGATTCGCAGCAGATATTTCAGTCTTGTGACAGTAATGAAAGCTGATTGCATGAGGGGAAATGTTATTTTTCTCCTAAAGGATGATGTAAGATGAGCTATGAAGTATCAGATCTTGTGGGCGGTGACATGTGGTCGTTACAGTTGCCATATGCTCTCTGTAGACCACTAGCCAACGCTCGCTACATGGACACTCACACTCACACACACACACACAGTGAGTCGCAGGAAAAATGCTAATTCATGTCAAGCTCTAAGGGACAGGGCCACAGAGCAGTTATTTGTCCAATTTCTGAACATGCTCACGTACACACAGTAATCTGTGTTGGGCTGACAGTGATATTCGCTGCCCTTTTCCTTCTCCTGCCATTGCTGTGGTTTTTAATAATTCGCCCCGTCTGAGCTAAGTCACATTAACGCTGTCAGCCACTGTTTGGGCAGCCAAGCGAGAGGAGACTATTACAAGCTCCTCTCCTCTTCTCTGACGGCGGTCATCAGTTCGTTTGTCAGTTCTGTCGGCATGCAGAACGCACTTATGCTCAGTTTGGTTAGTGTTTGGGACATTCAGAATCACATGTTGAGAAAATTATATTAAAACATTATTTTCATGACAGTTAAACATTTCCCCCACGCCAATAGACTCTCATTACTGTCGTGAGAAACATGTTTACAGCAGCTCTCTTCATTTATCATAGAGTCCTGAAGTAAATTAAACACAGTTGTAGCCAAAATATTAACTGTTTTCAACATTGATAACAATCAAAAATGTTTCTTGAGCAGCAAATCATCATATTAGAGTGATTTCTGAAGGATCATGTGACACTGAAGACTGGAGTGATGATGCTGGAAATTCATATAGTACATTTAAAAAAATGTTGGGTTGTTTCAACCCAAATTTGGGTCAAATATGGACAAAACCAAATGTTGGGTTAAAAATGTAATTTAAAATTTTAACCCAACTTTAACTTTCACTTTCAACTGTAATTTTTTAAATAAAATAAAACTTGAATTTTAAGGTTTTAACTGTTTTGTATTTGAATATATTTTAAAATGTACACTCTAAAATTTGGGTCAAATATGGACAAAACAAAATGTTGGGTTAAAAATGTAATTAAAAATTTTAATCCAACTTCAACTTTCACTTTCAACTGTAATTTTTTTTAATAAAATAAAACTTTTAACAGTTTTGTATTTGAATATATTTTAAAATGTACACTCTAAAAAATCCTGGGTTGTTTCAACCCAAATTTGGGTCAAATATGGACAAACCCAAATGTTGGGTTAAAAATGTAATTTAAAAATGTAACCCAACTTTCAACTGTAATTTTTTAAGTAAAATTTTTAACCCAACATTTGGGTTTGTCGATCCATATTTGACCCAAATTTGGGTTGAAACAACCCAGCATTTTTTAGAGTGTACATTTTAAAATATATTCAAATACAAAACAGTTAAAACCTTAAAATTCAAGTGCTTAACTTGTTTAAACATGTATGACTTAACCTTTCATTCATATTATAAATATATATAATTAATAATTTTATATCAATAAATTAGTGATATCGGCCACCATATCGGTATCGGCCGACATCGGTTTATTTTTAATGTTATCATTATCGGCCCAATAGAAGAATTTGTCTGATATATTAAAGCCGATAAATAGTGTATTATCTCCTTCAGATGTTCATCGTTATGCTTTTGAATTGCTTGAAATTATGATTGGAATCACTTGGTTCAGTCTGTCATATCGGTTACTTAAAATTATAATAATAACATCCTAATTATGTGTTTGGGACGTGGCTTTTACAAGTGAGGCTTTGGTTTTTGTAATTAGGCTCTCAAATTACACACAAATTTGGACTTATGTTTATTGGCCGATATATCGGTTATCGGCTTTCAAAAATAAAGAATTATCGGTTATCGGTATCGGCCAAAATGTTCATATCGGTGCATCCCTACTATAAATTATATAAATGGATATTTCCATATTTGAATTTCATATATTATATATATAATTACTGACCTAAAAACAACATGAGGGTGAGTAAATGAATGCAGTATTTTCAGTTTTTGGTGGCCTATCCCTTTAAAATCAGGTACTTTTC